TTAGAAAAGAGGACAACGCTCCTCAACTTGTTGGCTCAGAAAGTAAAATATTGAAAGTTTCCCCGTTGTATTCAAGTTTTACTTGAGACGGAAATAACCCAGCTGCGGTATCTACAGCTGCTGCTACAGTACTGCATAAGGCCGTTGACACCAGACTACCTACCTTCTTGCTCTATCTAGCTAGCATGGCCCCTGCGCAAGGATGACACGCAAAATCGTGAAGCGTTCTAGCTAGCTCTAGCTTTTGTCGCGTTAGAACAACATTTGCCGGAAGAGAGAAGCAGAAAAATAACTTTATTCTTCGGTTTCAACGAACATTCTACTATTCTAAAATTAAAGATACGCAAATTTATGTAGTGATGACAATCAAAACCAATCTATGCAAATAAACCTATACATTTGGAAAATTATGGAATAATAAAAAAATCAACAGAATCCTTGATATTTATTCCGATAGATGGCGCAAGCCATCAGCAACTTTTAAGTTACACGATAAGGAGATGCCCTTTTTTTTTTCTTTCTTAAGATTCATTCTTGTTTCAATCGGCGATTCTTACCAAAGATGGAGTAGGAAGCTACTGGGTTGTCTGTGGTTACCTTCCCAGGAAGGAACACCACCAGCGGGTCAAACAGTCCAGATGGCTGGCATCAAGTGCTCCGAGGCAATACGATCCGTGAGACAGGAATCCAAACAGCAGCAGCAGGATAACTAGGCGCGACAAGTTCAAGTACGTCATCTTTCACCTCCACGGAAGTGTCACCGTGTCCCAGTGCGGAAGATAAATATCCGTCGAAAAAGCGCCACACCAATAAAGAACCTCTTTCGGGTCATTGGAACCCCGGGTGCTATTCCTGGCCTCTTCTAAATACGTTGTCAGCTCGCCAGACTTTCTTATCTAACGTCGTCTGGTTAGGTCGTCTGTTTTCTTACGTCTGCTCTATAACCTTTCTTTGAATGGTTGTTTAGTAGAATGTTCTTTAGCTAGATCTGGCTTTCTGTTATGTTATAGAATCGTTGTTTCTTAAGCCATTGAAGATAGTAAAATAATAACAAAATCTAACCTACTTACCTTAAATGTAGCTTGGCACCTGCAGCTCCAGAACACATTTTGGCTTGAATTATATACACTATTGCGAGGCATCGTTTGTTCCCAGATCTAAATAATTTAACTCTCTTAATCAGCCACTTTGTCTATATACATTTTATGAACTCCGTCGATTAATACATGTAAATTTGTAAATATTTAATTAAAAGTTTTTATTTTTGTTGTTGTTTCCTCTGTAAAAGGCGCAAATATTTCAATATATCGCCTGGTTGATTAAAAAAAATGAAATATGCACTAAACAGGGCCTTTGGGAGAGGTCGCTCTTTATCATCAAACAGCTCGAGGAACATGGACTTATGGAATTGGTGTAATCTTTACAAAAGGAGAATAAGAAACAGCAACGTAATAACTACCTTGCGATTTCTTCTATCTGCTTATGTTGTTGCTTATTTGTTTAATGTATATGTTTATTCAACGCTCTTTTTTCTTAATTGTTTATTTTATTTTTGATAATTCTGTTACCTACTCTACTACAATTATTGTAAATAGTTTCACGCGCAATTATCTAGATCGGATATAGCGTGTCTTAACTGGTAATAAATAAATAAACATAATAAGGTATTTGTATCAATGATATTTCGTCATTTAGCTCACTGTCTGAGCAAGATAAAGTCATTAAAGGGAATTCATAGCAGGTCGGTGCTTCAGTCGCTAGCAGTTTTATGTAAAATTGTTGCCATTCCAATATTGGGATGTTTCCATATGAAGTTCTTGTTAGAATATTACACAGAGTAACAATGGCTATAGATGAGCTCTTCTTTGAAAAGGAACTTGTATGTATATAATATTTATCGTTTTTTGTTTGTTTTCATGTAGAAACATACACCAAGGTTTGTTTTGTATAATTGCTATTAATAATGAATAATATACAAAGTTAAATTGGTTACGGATTCAACCTTTTACTTACTTTAATTACATAACAATTCTTTTATTTGTAAAGGAAATAATATCTAGGAATAAGGCAAAGTACAAGAAGAGGGAACATAGAGAAGCCTTCAGAAACCACGATATCTAGTTATAAATAGGCTTCTTTGTTTATATTTGTAAGACGTATTTTGGGACGAAATGTTTACGTCTTGTACAAGCCGTTAGAAAGATCTTGGATTGACAATATCAATGTTCCATGAACAACATAAACGCTGATAAAAGAGGTCTATCAGAAACATCAAATTGTTCCTGTGGAGAAACTGAACAAACTGCTCTTCACCTTATCTATGACTGTCCGAACTTTACAGAAGTGAGATATCGTTTGTTCCCTGATCTAAATGATTTAACTCTCTTACATCAACCACTTTGTCTATATAAAATTTATAAACTCTGCCGATTAATACATATAAATTTATTATGATGCATTACCGTGCCATATATTATGAAAATTCGAAAGTATTATAAAAGCGTACGATTCTTTTAAACATTTAAAAAGAATCATACGGGTCTATAATAGTTTCGAATTTACATCTAAATTTGTAAATATTTAATTCTAAGTTGTTTTGAATCAAAAGGCGATCCATAAATTAATTTTATATAAAAGGGCGTACCTGGATCTGTAAAGAAAGAAAAAAACAATTTTTTCTCTCGATATATTTCGAGAGATTGCTCCATCTTTATCAATTTATTGCACAGTAAACTCAAAGTTGTTTGTTGTTTTGTTTGTCTCGTCTATAATAGGCGCAAATATTTTAATATCGCCGCCTTTTTGATTAATAAATCTATATATATATAATTGAATGTCTGTGTGTGTGTCTGTCTGTGTGTCCTCTATGGATACAAAAACCATACATCCAGGAGTTGATAAACACATGAGCTGACAGTATGCCAAGTTGGAGAATCTACAGGGACCGTTGCCGGGCGGTCGAAGTATTGAAAGAAGATCGATCCTTCCAATCAATACCCAGCGGCAGAATTACCTCCTTTAAATGACTGCTCATGGACACTTCCGCCAGTCAGACCCACCAGGTTTCTGATATCATGCAAATATGTTTTACATATTCGAGTAAAGGAAAAAAGAATTCGCTCTCTCCAAAATCCATTTAAATTCCAGTAGAGTATTTATACGACTGTCCGAACTTTACAGAAGTGAGACATCGATTGTTCCCTGATCTAACTCTCTTACATCTGCCATTTTGTCTATATGAATGTTATAAACTCTGTCGATTAATACATGTAAATTTGTAAATATTTTAAGTTTTAATTTGTTTGTTGTTTTTTTTTTTTGTTTGATTCCTCTGTAATAAGCGCAAATATTTCAATATGGCGCCTGGTTGATTAACAAATAAACAAAGTAGAGTATTTCGATATTCTTCTTTTGCTCTTGCTAGGGTTTCAGGCAGTTTTTATCTAAAATCATTTTATTATTTACATTTAGAGTAACTCTTAGCTTGTCTGGTTTCTACAATTTCTGCCTTTTAGAATCGACAATTGTATCGTCCACTATCTGGTAGGTTGTGGCATTCACTATGGGGGTAGGTGGAAGGCTGGTTAAACCGTTTGGTTTTCAACCACTACGACCCGGGTTCGATTCCCGCATTGAACACTTTTTTTCTGTTAAAAAAATGCTCCAATGGCCCCCGATTCTTGCAAAAGTTCAACCCCACCAGCGAGTTCAAGTAACCAAACGGGGCTCTGGCACATTTGTAAGTACAAAGTCGAACTTCTTTTCACATGTGTAGACATGTGGTGCGCTTACAGTAAAAGCAGTCGCTAACTACCCTCCTTGATTATCATGGCCTGTACCACGTGTACTAGGGATAAGCAAAAAAATAAATAAATAGTAATTTGATATCTTTCAGTTTTAATCTAAGCCCTCTCTCGAGCAATTCATTCTTTAATAACAAGAAAAAATAGTTAAACCTTTTTTGTATTTTTTTTTTTCATTTGGAAAAAGCACATTAGGCAAAGAACTTTCTATAAAGAATTCAATATTAGTAACCTTTTATCTACTTATAGGATATTCAATACATTTCACTCTCCCGTTCAAGTTTGGTTATTGAACTGCGTACGAATCTTTAGAAATGATTCCTTGAAGTAAGGTCATTCAATACATTTCACTGGTTTGGAAAATTATGGAACAATATATCGCTAAATTGGACAATTCTATAATTAACCTATTGATAATAAAATTGGACAATTCTAAAGTAATTTATTACTAACTTAGATAAATCTAGATTAATAAAATCAATAAAACCTCCAGAACCCAGTTTCTTTATTTTGTACACAGGTCTTTTCTCGTTTTTTTTTTTTTTTTTCTATCTCTTTCTCATTGTTAACATCATATGACTATTCTATTCACGGCCTAAAATTATTGTATATATATGTATAGACAAATGTCATACTTGTAGGACAGTGCAAGTGTCCCTAAGGGAACATGGCGCTTTAAATTGAAATAAAATAGAACCAAGTTTCTTGTACAATTTTATTTATCAAGCTTACGGACATTTAGCCTTTCGACGGGAATAACACACTAAACTAACTCAAGACCTGATACGTCCGAAAGATTTAGAAATAAAATTGTCACGAAACTTGACCCTTGAAACTTTATTTCTTATATTTTAAATGTTTATGATCAGGATGTTGGGAGAATCGTAATAAATACTCTCTATTAAAACATAAAACTTCTTTATTGAAAGCGCACACAAAAACAATGAATTTAAATTTCTATAATAAACCTAAATAACTCTTACACCTAAACGCTTTTCACTTTCACTCTTATGTTTTCCATTATGCAAATAAGAGGTTATACATAAGTAAAGGTAAATTATTTAGAACTGTTTAGATTTCAGTAGAAATATTAAAATATACAGTTATCAGCGCATATAATCAAGCAACAATTCTCAATTCTGTCACCGTTTGCTTTTGTGAATGGAATAAATACCCAAATATGGCCATTTCTCATAACCATCGGTGGTTCAGTGGTAGAATGCTCGCCTGCCACACGGGGGCGGCCCGGGTTCGATTCCGATGCATTTTTTTTTTTTTTACAATTCTTAAAACTCATTTATATATTATACAAGAATGACATTCACGGCGCCAATTTATAATTGTAACGAATAATATTTGAATAAAAGCATTTAATCGGGTAAAACCCGGGCGTTGCCCGGGTCATTCGGCTAGTATAAATATACGTGTAAATAATAAATTAGATAATATAAAGATAACCCCCCCACCCTGGTTCAAATTCACATTAATAGGTACCGCTCAGCAAGAGCAACCTAGTTCATGATAATTGAACATTGAATAATATGTGAAGGTTATTCACATATTAAACAAATTTAAACGCGGGATTCAATCCCGGTTCATGACTGTCGGGAATCGAGGGGGTTACCCACTCGTCCACCGACTTTTTATGAAAATATAAACACAAATTGAATGCATCTCTAAGTACATATTAAATTTAGAAAAATGGTGTTTTATAGGAATCCAAGCAGTTATATGAACAGACGGGGGTATGTATATATAGAGAGAGATAAAAAGTTTTTCCCGATAAGAGGATTTTTCATTTTTTAAATAACAGAAGTTTTTTAATGTTTTTATGGTGAGTTATTTATAGGGTGGTGAATTTTTAATGAACAAAGAAGCCATTGAGAAAGAGCTTTTAGTATTTTTAATGGAGATCATTTGACACTAATTCAACAAATAGGAAAACTTTGTGTATATAGAAATTTGAAAGTTTTTTTTTTTACATTATCTATTCTAAAGGCTGTATAAATATTTTAGTATGATATATGGTGACAAATTATTTATGATTTTTTTAGGAACATTCAAACTCCCTCTTTGTTCAATATGTATAAACGATGTATATATTTTTAAAAGTAAGAAAATGATCTATGAGTGGTTCGGATATGCCTATTTATTTTAAATATATTCATATAAATATGGGCAGCAATTAAGAAGGCAAAAATTTTAAGGCTCCAATATACACTTATGGACAAAACTTAAGGAAGTTGTACCTTTTAGCATGTATATCGGGATTGAGACAATAACTCTGAAAGATACACTCATGGACAAAACTTAAGGAAGTTGTACCTTTTAGCATTTATATCGGGATTCAGACAATAACTCTGAAAGATACACTCATGAACAAAACTTAAGGAAGTTGTACCTTTCAGCATGTATATCGGGATTCAGACAATAACTCTGAAAGATACAACACTCATGGACAAAACTTAAGGAAGTTGTACCTTTTAGCATGTATATCGGGATTGAGACAATAACTCTGAAAGATACACTCATGGACAAAACTTAAGGAAGTTGTACCTTTTAGCATATATATCGGGATTGAAACAATAACTCTGAAAGATACACTCATGGACAAAACTTAAGGAAGTTGTACCTTTTAGCATGTATATCGGGATTGAGACAATAACTCTGAAAGATACACTCATGGACAAAACTTATAGAAGTTGTACCTTTTAGCATTTATATCGGGATTCAGACAATAACTCTGAAAGATACACTCATGGACAAAACTTAAGGAAGTTGTACCTTTCAGCATGTATATCGGGATTCAGACAATAACTCTGAAAGATACACTCATGGACAAAACTTAAGGAAGTTGTACCTTTTAGCATATATATCGGGATTGAAACAATAACTCTGAAAGATACACTCATGGACAAAACTTAAGGAAGTTGTACCTTTTAGCATGTATATCGGGATTCAGACAATAACTCTGAAAGATACACTCATGTACAAAACTTAAGGAATTTGTACCTTTTAGCATGTATATCGGGATTCAGAAACAATAACTCTGAAAGATACACTCATGAACAATACTTAAGGAAGTTGTGCCTTTTAGCATGTATATCGGGATTCAGAGACAATAAGTTTGAAATATATCTGATACACAATGTTCTTTATTGAAGACACACGAGATAACCAAGTGTGACCAAAATTACCTGTCTCCTTTAAAAAACAGGCGACATCAAAGATTTTCCACTTCCTTAAGTTTTGTACATGAGTGTATATAAATTGTGCATTGTGACAATTCCAATTATTGCTATCAAACCATAAAAAAAAAGACACCTCTGGAGTAAAATTACTAGATCAGAGGTTCAAACCTCGAGGACGACACAAAAAAACAGAAAGAGACAATGTCAACTTCTCTACAAATGGAATTATATGTCAGCTATATCACAGGGTAATTGAACAAGTATTTGGGAAGTTTTTACAATGGTGATAACGAATATAAATATATTTTTTTAGGAATGTCTAAGTCAGTACAATATTTCTCTAGGATTGTCCAAGCCCCAGGTAAGTAGTGCTCTGAGATTGTCCAAATTATAAATTTATTATTCTTGAATTGTCATAATTTATTTCTCTAGAATTTTTCATGTCTTTTTTAGCGATATATATTTCCAGGTTTGTCCAAGTTAAAATTATATTATCCTAGAATTAGACGAAAAACATGGTGAAGGAAGACGATTTTCTTTTATTGATGAATAGGTGCAAGCTTTCGGGTAAAAACCCTTCAACAGGCGAGCGTGACTTATAAGAACTATTTAGTAGAACTGGTTAGTTCTTATCAGTCGCGCTCGCCTGTTGAAGGGTTTTTACCCGAAAGCTTGCACCTATTCATCAATAAAAGAAACTCGTTTTCCTTCACCATGTTTTTCGTCTAACTTCAATCCAGGAAGAATTCTTTATCTATATCCTAGAATTGTCAAAATTTTAAACTATAAGAGTAGTCAGGAGATGGAAGTTTATTTTAAATCAACTGTTATAGGTGTATATTAAAAATTTAGAGTTTTCCCAACAAACTACATAGATAACTTTGCAACTGTGGTTTATCGCGTTGGTTGGCATATCTGTTGGAAGCTTCAGTCACCCAAGTTGAACCCAAGGTAACAGGGAAAGTAAAATCCAACAGCCAACGTTATCTATGTAAATAAGGGGGGAGGGGTACGCTCTAATCCTCTGCTAAATTTGCATAACTCTGGCAGCTAAACCGGAACGTTTCGGGCTTTTCCCATGGCCTACATCGAGTGTGGCATGCATTGTTTCCTCCCTTGACCCACTCTCTTGTTTTTGTTGTGCTTCGAAACATTCGGCCAGAACCTGGGCAATTATCACAGGAGTGGGCAATTTTGGACGGAAGGCAAATTAGAAAAATTATTTTAATAGAAGACGCCAACCATCAGCAACGTTGTTGTTGTCGTGTCCAAAGAAGAGTCTCAGATGACTCCATGCATCTCCATCACAGCAGCAGCAATATACACTATCTTGGGTGTGTAAAGTTGCTGCTCTGGGTCCATGTCAATTTTCTGCAAGGCTGCGGCCATTGCTGGGCATGAGAATATGTGAGTAGGTGTTAGTTCCACACCAGGACAGTTGTTGCATGTTCTATAAGTTCTTGTGCCATCTGGATGTATTGTCATTCCTTTATAGTGTTTTGTTTTAAGTCTTGTTCAGTAGCTGATAAAGAAAAAATGCTCTTCATCATTCAAAGAAATACATTTCTAACAGGTTGATTTGAAGATATTCCAGTTATTTTGTATATAGGTTCCTACAATATTTTACCTACGGAAAATAAGAACATAAAGGGAGAAATGCCTCATTTGGATAGAGTATTTAATTAAAAAGGCATATATTGGATAAAAATATCATTTTTTTTACCAATATTTCAGTTGGCTGAACGCCAACCTTTATCAAGGTATTTAATCGAGGCGTTCAGCCAACTTAAATATTGGTAAAATAAATGATATTTTGATCCAATATATGCTTTTTTAATTAAATATTTATTTATGGATTGCTCTATTTTCAAAATAAAAGAGTATGTGTGGAGAGGGAGTTTATGCCATAGTTTTAACTTTGTATTCACATATTACCTTTGTGTTTAACAATATTTTACTTATCGAGATGAAGTTTTTGACAAGACATAAAGCTAGGTCTGTAAGGAGTCACCGTGATAGTGTAAACTTCAGGATATGCAAATAGATCCAGTTAGTTCCGGTTTATTTGCATATCTTTTTATTCTGAATGGTCGTTTTCACAAGATTTGGCCTTCACGGTAGAGAAAGGAGTGGGATATTGTAGTTTCACCCCTCCCCCGGGATATTCCCATTCGCACAATGACAGATTACCTATTTCACTTGTTCCCTGTGATTTTCCACACAACTCGCCCTACCTGAATGACACTACATAGAATATCTGGCATTTCTTCAACCTTTAATATCAACTTAGTCTGATAACAGGTTCATTGGTACTATTACTGTTATTCCTGCATGTACCCTACATTTCTGTGTGTGTGTGTGCTTGGAGAATCTATATAAGACTAAAATGTCTTAATAAAGATTTTTTGTTGTTGATAACAGGTTAATTTGCATATACATATTAATTATCCCTAGTACAAACGTGGCACAGGCCATGATAATCATGGTGAGTAGAAGTAGGCGACTGCTTTTACTGTAAATGCACCACATGTCTACACATGTGAAAAGCAGTTCGATTTTTATATTTACAAATATGCCAGATCCTCATTTGGTTACTTGCATTCGCTGGTGAAGTTGTACTACTTTTTTTTTGCATTATGTATCATATAAATCATATTTGAATATTTGGAAGTTATAAAATATGGTTATAAAAATAATACGTTAATGATATTTTATCTTTAATACTATTCTACAAACCACAAGAAAAAAAAAGAATAATAATAATAATAACTTATTTTCAAAAAGGTTACAAGTTTTTCTCTAAAAAGTGTAACGCATGGTCAATCTATTTACAAATTTTTATTTACAACTTCAATAAATAATAACTGAAAAGTAAATGTTTTCATGCGTTGAATAATGTAAATAAACTTATGTAAATAAACTTTTCTCCTTGTTTGGCTCAAGTATCCCTTGTGGGATATAGCGCTTTGGAAATAATATAATTGTAATTGTAAAAAAAGATATTTACATTTGCTATCTTGAATAATAACAATAATAAACCTTTTAAAAATATATTTATCGTTGGACAAACATTC